CCCCCATTTTCTTAAACAAGCAGTTTACGGAGAAACTGTACAGATACCACTTCCCTTCGGCAAAGCTACCGGGTTGACCCTCCCCCACCTTACCCGCAATCCCCCTCCCCGATCTCCGAACATGCCCTCACTCCTCTAACTCTAATACTGTTTCACACAAACTAAAATGTAGGGATTCTGAATCTAAAAGCTTTGAAAATCCACAGAATGCACCTATTTTTACACCTCCTCCCCATAGTAAACAACTAAATATAAATTCTAATTACTGCAGAACAAATAAACGGGTGTGTGTAAATATGTTCTTTTCAGCTGTTTGTGGTAAAAGGCATCAATCAAGATTGATCAACTTGGAAAGATTTTTCGTGTTTATTTCTTTTGTTGTTTCTCAGGAAAGGAGGCAAAGCTTTCTCATTTTATTTACTTTGGGGAGAATAACCACCTTCCAGTTGGTTGGGGAAGAAAGCAAAAGTGTAAAAATCCAAATGATTTTGCAAGAGTAACAAAAGCTCCAAGCTCTCAAAAAAAATTATTTGCTAACAAAACATTCTTAGGCACTATTTTAATAGTAGAAATCAACTGATTACACTGACCTAGAATGAAGTAACTTTAATGATGGCATTTCAGGGGAAACATTTCACATAATAGGAAATAGAAAAAATTTAAAATAAGTTTTATATATTTTGAACAAAATAAGTTTTGTTATATTCTGAACAAAAGAATTACTTTTAAAAATCAACATCTGGTAACAGAAAAATAATCTAAAAAAGTACTCATGTAAATTGAAGGGAGGTGCTATTATTTATATGAAAGTAATTATAAAATTCACAGAGCAGTATAGTTTGGTTTTGTCACCAACACACATTTATGGTAAACAATATTTTATCTGTTGTTTATTTTTAATTAGAAAATAGTTTAATTAGAAAATAGTTTAATTAGAAAATCAGAAACAACATATAGGTGGATTCTGAGTTGTTGTTTATGCTTAAATTTGATGTAACTCAAAACTATCAATATATAAATATATACTAAAAGTGTGAAATACCATAACTGAACTACACTGAATGGTATGGTTATGAGATTCACAGTCTTGCCTGATTGGCGGCCTCCAGTATTAGTGGAATTAAGGTAGGGTTCACTGGACTGGTCACTGGTGTCAGAGGTTATCGACTCATTCATTTCCTGAGAGGGACATCAGCCTTTCAAGTTGTGTAGAAGGCTTTTTCCAACTGGGAACTCAGAGAAATCCTCTAACATTCATTCACAAGGAATTTAAGTCAAATACATTTACATACCTGGGGGAGGGAGGTGGGTAGAAAAGACAAGAGGAAGAGAAGGGAGAGGAGGGGAGGAAATTGACAAGGGAGACACAGTCACACACAGAAAAATACTACTATTTTGGGGATATGGCACTGTCATTTCAATAGATTCGTCTTTTCTGCCCACCCCCCCCCAAATCTTTTGAGCCTAAGATCCTTTTTATAAAACTGACCATAATCTCTTTAAGCTCTTAGAGTGCTTCTTTCACATAAAATAGTCCTATGAATCTCCTAGAATGCTTTCCAATTTGTCACCTTCCTGAAGTCTTCTGGTTTTAATTTTTTTCTCATTTCCTACTTGTTTTTAGTGCCAGAAAGACCTGTGCTTGACTCAAAACGCATGTTTTATATTTGTGAAAGCCAAATGTTTAGTAGTTTGATTTACCATAGTTCTTTCAAAATGTTTTAAGAATGAGTTCAGGTACCTACAAAGAATCATCAACGCACTGGGGAGAAAAATTAAGGAATTAACCTATCACATGCCCGTTGGTCATGACAATCTAAGGTTTCTTCGTTTAAAAAACGAAGTACACATTTCATCGACCGTTTCCTTTTCCTTTTTTTTTTTCTTTTTTCTTTTACCTCTAAGAGCACAATGCAAGGAGCCCAAAGAGGTGCCTGAGCCAACGTCGTTGTCAACTATAAGCAATGAGTGACTTCTATTACAGCAGAAACAATGCTTTGTTTGGTTCTTCTTAAAACTAGGAGGAGGGGCAGTGGCACTGCGGTGAGCTACTCCACCCGCGCTCTCCTCCAGGCAAATGGGGCTGGGGTCTGCAGCCCCTGCGCCGCCTTCGCCTTCGCAGCCGAGCGCCTTCCCGCCCAGCTAGCCTCCCAGGGTCGCCAAGACCCCCAGGCCAGCGGATCCGCCCTTTCCCTCCACCTCCCGCCCCAGCAACTTCCTCTCCCCTTACCCTCCCTCCCCAGTCACCTTTCCCTTATTCATCACATCACCACCCCCTCTCTAGAAGTCAAACCTTCCAAAGAAGGCTGGTGATTTCTCATTAGTGAGGGGCGTTTAGGTTTGTCCTTTCGCCCCAAGAACACCAAACAAAAGAAGCCCTTGCCTTCACTATTTTGAAGGCAACACCTGGCACAATCCACTACTTTTACTGCATTTCCAGATGTATAAAATTTATAACTTGGTCCCTTATCTGTGACAGGTCAGAGTCTCCCCTAAGAGAAGTAAGGTCAAAGGGGAGAGGGAACCAGGCCCCCAGGGACTGACCACCACCGCCACCCTCACTCCCCCAACAGGCCAAACCTAAAATGGAGCTGTCTTCAGACAGACCCCTGGCGCCGTCCTTTCGGGAAGCCAGGAAAACGTGGCAATGCGCCTTTAGAGGATCGGGAAAAGAATTCCGCGGGGAACGAGGTGGAGCGGCGACCGCGGAGGATTTTAGGGAAGCGGCTCTCTGGCCCCGGGGTGAGGTTTCCTGCTCAAAAATTGCGGACCCACACGTCGGGCAAAGTGTTCCCCATCCCTCCCACCCGCTGCGTTTCAGCAAACCACTGGCATTGCTGGCAAATAACTTTTCCTCAAATTCTTATAATACGGAGTCAAATGAAAGAGTACTCGCCTGGGTGCGCTGGTCTTATAGTAGAGGCACTTCAGAATTGG